AACTACTGCCCAAAATGCTAGTCAAATTATTACAAACTACTGCCCAAATCACTATTCAAATTATTACAAACTGCTGCCCGAATCACTATTCTAATTATTACAAACTGCTGCCCAAATTGCTATTCAAATTATTACAAACTACTGCCCAAGTTGCTATTCAAATTATTACAAACTGCTGCCCAACCTACCGGTACTATTCAAACTATTGCAAACTGATGTCCTAATCACTATTCAAATTATTACAAACTGCTGCCCAAATCATTATTCAAACTATTACAAACTGCTGCCCAAATCACTATTCAAACTATTACAAATTGCTGCCCAAATCGCTATTCGAACTATTACAAACTGTTGCCCAAATTACTATTCAAACTATTACAAACTGTTGCCCAAATTACTATTCAAACTATTACAAACTGTTGCCCAAATCACTATTCAAACTATTACAAACTATTTCCCAAGTCACTACTCAAATTACAGTTTTACAAACTGATGCCCAAATGACTATTCAAACTATTACAAACTGTTTCCCAAGTCACTACTCAAATTACGGTTTTACAAAATGATGCCCTAATCACTATTCAAATCATTACAAACCATTGCCCTAATCACTATTCAAATTATTTACAAACTGCTGCCCAAATCATTATTCAAAATATTACAAACTGCTGCCCAAATCACTATTCAAACTATTACTAACTGTTGCCCAAATCACTACTCAAATTACGGTATTACAAATTGATGCCCTAATCACTATTCAAACCATTACAAACCATTGCCCTAATCACTATTCAAACTATTACAAATATATGTCCAAATTCCAAATGCCCAAATTCAAACTTACTATCAGTTAAAGCTTATTGACATACTATGACACAAAATATGTTTTTTTTTCTGCAGTATTCACAACCCTTGCAAGGCAAGGTGCATATGAGTTTCCAGTTTCAGTACCATCAACTCCGCTAAGGTAAACTATCTTATTAGTCCCCGTTCGGACGTAGTCCGAAAACGGGGACTTATGTTTTGCCCTGTGTGCGTCCGTGCGTTCATCTGTGATCACCTGTATCTCGAACATGCATGGACCGATTAAGTTCAAACTTCACTCGTACATCACGCATTATATGGGACATGTGCACATGCATTTTTTTCATGATCCGCTTAACAATAGCTGAATGATGGCCATTTTAAGGCCGAAAATGCATCAAAATCATGTATTTTCACAATTCCGGAACCTGATCTCAGTCATGCATGGATGGATTTTGTTCAAATTTAGAACAATGTGTTGTACATATGCAGGTGCATTTTGGTCATGG